CTAAAAACAAAGGATACAAAGGTAAAAAACAGACTTCAACTGACAGAACATGGCTACGGATAATGCTCTTTTACTTTGTCCCAATAAAGCTCAAAATGATATCATTGGTTTTTAATGCCTCGTTTGCGTATTCGTCTACGCAATAGCCTATATAAGTTTACATATAACTACCCAGGAAGTCAAATACATATACTGACTACCCCATCAAACAAATTTGCCAACATGTATGGTGAAATCTCACTGTGACATGTTCAAACGCATCGTAATCCAACCGCACTTTTTAAAGGACTTGCGATGACGCAGCGGCAGACTGTGGGACAGCCAGTCGATAGGACACAGCTGATCATCGCAGAAATTTTAAAAGATGATGACAATAAATACTGTGCTGACTGTGATGCTAAAGGTTCTATTATTTTTACCCAATAAGTCATTATTTAGCACCTAGATGGGCTTCCTGGAACATTGGCGTCCTTTTATGCATTCGCTGCGCCGGAATACATCGGGGGTTAGGCGTTCATATCTCTAAGGTTAAATCACTTAACCTCGATTCTTGGGAGCCACACCAAATAGCGGTAACATCTTTGTTTTTCTTGGGAGTGTCAGTTGTAGATGCTTAGGGAAATCGGAAATCGTCGTGGACGTGAGATATACGAAGCGAATTTGCCTGAGTACTTTCGAAGGCCTCAGACAGACTTCGCCTTGGAACAGTTTATACGGGCAAAATATGAACAAAAACGATTTATAGCTGCAGATTTCATTCCACCGACGCCGAATGCCGATGCTGTGAACAAGGTCAGTTCCTTTAGAAGTTTGCGCTTTGTTTTTAACCCAAGCTGGCATTTTCATTTTTTTATTTACGTTTCGCGGTATTATTTCGACATGTGTTTTTTTAACCCGGAATATGTTCAACTCCAAGAGCTGCCATCATAATTGCATCTTAATCAGTAAAAAATATTTAATTCAATAGAGTAGGAACAGATCATGACAAAACTGGTTTTGGTAATGTCTGTTTGGTCTAATCTTCGTCTACTGTTGTAAGTAATTATCCCATTTCGGCACTATTAACTTTAAGCACATTCAACTAACATAATTTCCGTACCGATGGTCCCATGGTCCTTCCATTTGTTCAGACGATTTGGACCTTCAAGTATGAAGGTTTGACAGTTATCGATTCGGCTCTAGGATGGTTTCGCTAGTCATCCTATCAGTCAATTATCCGGCAACCTTCAAATGTGCCTAGCTGTGCATCATACAAACTTGCATCTGGTTGATAGCGTTTTCGACTCGACAATTTTATTAGGGTTCATGGGGCTGAACCTGGTGATCCGAGTCTGCAAGTTCTAATATTTAGCCGCAGACTGCAGTTGTCTACAGTTTGCTCGCCGCGACCGAGGATGTCCAAAATGTGTCCCCACAGCATACTAAACGCGTGGTCAGTGACTTGCGCGTAAATTAGTTTACAGTAACAGCAGACTTTTGCAATATCTCCCACACTCTCCTCTCTTGCTCACCTGACCCCGATGGCAGGACGAAGTCAATACGACCAGAGGCTTTATCAGCTACTGCGCCCGATCCTGCTGCCTGTCTTCTGGACTATGTATTGACATCAGGCCGACATGGGTGAAGAGATAGAAAGTGTTACATGTTCAGTTAGCTTTGCCATCAATATAAGCTAGCTCACGTGCATGTAATCGTCCCTGTGCTGATAATGTTGTGGGTCAAACAGAAGACAGTCGCTAGAATTGTCATCAGTTTTGGCACTGTATGTCAATCCGTTATCTCGAATTCAGCTACGAAACCTTGAACGCCTAAAATGTAATCAGTCTGGCTGGTCGTAGGGTTTTCGTGGCGCGGCGACAGCCACACTGTGTCTATCAGAAGAATCGCATGGGCCGCTGTGTTATTGGGTGAAGTGGGATTTGACTCATGAACCCTATCTTCTGGGTGCCTGAGTCGAAGATTTGGGTTTAGAACGTACTCAGAAGAATAATATAGGATCGCTGTAAAAATACATGAAGCCCATCATCAGAGACAATCGCTGATAAGGGGCAGACTGCAGATATCCATAAACTGACGAAGACTGCGCGTAGGAACTTTTGCGAATTCTGCATCCAATACTAAGAGTCCGTCCCCGATGAGATAAGCCAGCTCGCTTGCTATTCGACCCCGCTACTATTTCTTCTGACCCTTTCTCATATCTAACGTTTATTGGATAGCCAGCTACGAGAGCTTATTAGGCGCAGCCAAAAAGTAATTACTGTTCAATCGCTCCTCGTACCCCATCTCAACTTTTGCTACGATGGAGTCCCTTAACCCCGCCTGAACTCGAACTTATTTCCCGCATCCGATAACGATATCCATGAAATTATTTGGTTGGGTAGCGTTAGGCCATCTTAATTTTCTGTTATCCTACCTTCCCTTCTCAAATTTTAGATACTATTTTAAGTGTTGAGACCTGCCCCTTTACCTCCATTCTACTTGTTTGCTATTTCCATTCTTATTACATTGCACCCCTGTTTGGCGTCTTTTATCACCTGAATATACCTCTAACCTCTTTATTCAGGAGCTTAATCGTCTCGAACAACTCAGTAAGAAACGACCTACGGCTTCAAAGTCTCTCGCATTAGCAGCCGGAAGTAAGGAATCTTCGACGAAACCTCAGTCCCGGGCATCGAAGGTAGGTCCAGTTAACCTGTCGTTTCCATCCACTCGATTTTTTGCCTCCTTCGCTTGGCACCGAATTAACTGTGCAGCATCAGCACTCCAGCTTTAAACCTGTCTGCCCGAGCTTGCATCTCCATCTGCTATCATTCTTAGCATAATGAGTTTATGGCTTGGGGATGTTTACCAAAGATTCGTCGTCCTCAACTGAAAATCTTCGCATTCTCAAAATAGTTATTTTTTATTGTCATAGTACCGAACCCCCGTTAGTCTACATATTTCGCCAGTAATATGCCGACAAACATCTGTTAGTGAGGGTAGTATGGTTTAGGCAGGCTGACATTACCGACCGAGACATGGCAAACTGGAGGGGCAATTTCTGATTTGTTAGCCATCATCAGCCGGCCATGCCCAACCCCAGGTTGTGCACCACCCAAGGCTTGGTCAGTGAGCGCCTCCCTCTCCATGGAGCCCGATGAAATATCCAGGTCTATGCGCAGTGAGTTAGAGCGTTGGACCTTACCTAACAGGTCCCGGGTGCGAATCTTGGGTCATTCACTTCTGTGCTTGAGTGTGACTGGCCAATGGCAGCTCATAAATTAGAAATAGCCATTCCATTCTTTGTTAATAATGTCATTCTGCCTATATCACTAGCCACTATGTGACTGCTGTCGGGGCTTGAGAGTAATTTCTGCGGCACAAATAGAGGAGTATATCTTGTTATGCGATCGGCGAGTGTCCTACTATAACCGTTACTATACCCGATAGCAGCCGACAGGACAGCGAGCCCGTGACTAAATGGTTAGAGTATTGGACTTCCGATAAACAGGTTGCCATTTTGAGCCCTGAGGGTTGCACACCTGGGGTTGACTATGGCTGGCTGATAAATACCAATAAGCCAGAAATGGTAATATCAGTCTCCGTTCTCCTTGCCTAGACTACAAGCCGCCATGTGGCTGCTGGCAGAACTCTAGATTGAGCTCAAAGACAGAGCGAGACGAGTAGGTCCCGTTAGCGATCGGTGGACGTCCATCTACCGTCGGTAGTATAATTTTAACTTCTGCAGAGTCTGCCGAGTCAGATGGTTTTTCCCCATTTCTCTTAAAATCTTGCTGTTTTCCGTTAGCCCCTGCGTTGACACATCTTATCAACTTGTTCTTCATGGAGCCCAAGATTCTGAATAACTGGTGTTCAGTAAGAATCACTCTCAAATCTTTTCGTCCAGTTGCCTGCTCCTCCGCATTACTGAAACTCGTAGAACGATTCCCCGATTTTTCCGATACTCTGAAATTTGCATATAACACTAGACGTAGTACCCTGGACGCTGTTCCTCTTGTAGTCCATTCTGATCTAAGAGGTTTAGATAAGGGCTGCCGTGCCTACGCATGTGCATTTTTTGACTACTCAGCCTGTACTACTACCCCACGCCATCTCCTCCGTAATAAAACGTGTGCATGCGGCTCCCCTGGCTGGGCTTTCTCCTGGCTTGGGGACTATTTCACTTTCCGCACTCAATTAGTTCACTGCGGAAAATGAAAATCCACAATCCTTCCGAACAACTGCGGAGTTCTTCAAGGGTCTATCTTATCCCCTCACCTCTTCTTCCTCCACACTACTACGATCGCCAAATTAATGTTTGAAAAATATGCTGATGCTTTGGTTGTTGGTCATCCTCTCAAAAGTGAGACACATCTTCAGGTAATGAAATATGGCCTGGACCACGTCTCAGCATGATCACTAGTTAACGGTCTTCTACTGAATAGCCAGAAGTCAGTCCAGTGCGTTTTCCAATTGCGACACTCACAGTCCTGAATATTTATACATCCTGCCTAATGAGGTATCCTCTTTCCCGTACCTTGGCGTTACTCTGACATCTAATCTTTCATTGACTCTTCATATTGAAACCGTCGGTTACTTTTACATCACACAACTCAAACCCTAATCTGGCGATTTACAGACGCCTGCATTTCGCCCTCATCTACTATTCCGGTTATTTTTCCGGCCTTGCTTTAAAAATACCTGTTGATTTTTAAACGTACCCTCCGAATGCTCTCTTCAGCTGCCAGTCTTTCTTGTGTTTTTGAAACTAATACTATAATACAGCAACACTTTAAAACGGCCAAGCGGTTTGCTGATTGCATTCTTAGTGAGGTTGCTCATCCACTTCATTTTGAATTAATGGCTGCGAAGTCTTCGCGTCCTATGCGCCGAAGTTTCCGATATATTTCGTGCCGTACGTCGCCATATCAGCACTCTGTACTCTCACTCTTAGCACGCTACCTCACGTAAAAAGAAACGGAAATCCAAAAGTTGAGATTAGACCTGTCTACATATTGTATGTGGATTTCATGTAAACCTCTTGAATTTTTGAGTATTTTATTAAATCATCCCTTGGTTTCAGTGAACGGAGCCATTTTTTGCTGAAATGTTTCGATGTTTACCTTCAAACTAACGCGTATCTCTCTCACACTCTCTAAGGTCGTTTCTAGATGGGTCCCCAGTTATTGCGGCTTTCCTAATGTTATTTATCATCTCATTCATTACCTCTTCCCCGTTGTTACTTGTCAGTTTCTTAGGAAGGAATAGCAGAAGCCCTTACAACCCAATTTTAGCGGTACGGGTCTATATGAAAGACAGTCAACTGGGAAATATTTAAGTACGCGAAATGTATAAGACTGATAATAAAACAGGAATGGTAAAAAAGTTAGTGAATGTGCGAAATGTCAGCGAGTGACACATTCACTGCATTTGCTATCGGACTTTTCAACAGAATGCCCCTGCTGACGTTTTTTTTTCTCGTTCCATTACGTCTAGCCTGCGGCGAAAGCACCCCCATTGCCCTCGCGCACGGCAGACATTATCGAACTCTCACCGCCTGGACCTAGCAAAAAGTCCACCAGTTCCCCGCCCAGCAAAGGTGCAAAAAAGCCCTCGAAGCCAGCAGCATCGGAAGCTCTGATTGAGGTCTCCGCTGTACCGTCCGCTCAACCGGAACCCACTCCAGCAACCACCATCCAAGTGAGCTCTCTTCCTGTTTTTATGATTCTAACCCCCTCCCTCCGCCACATGGGCCGTTACTAGTTATGCAGACTGTGGGGACTGAATGAATTGTACGTTTCAATCTCATTTTCGTCGTGTTTCAGGATAACTGGATGTTATTTTTGACGCAGTGATTACTTAGGTCCTTCACTGATGCCTTGCACATGTCAGTCTAGATGCACTCTAAGTCACTCTTCAGTCCGGTTCCTGCCTGATGCGTAACCGGGGCCTTGCTTTGAGTGCCCTAGCGGCGGCTACTTTTATTGGGCGCTTTGCTGATGCAAGCAAAAAGGCGAGTTTTTGTGAAGCGGGTGTAAAGAGTCAGAGATGCAATTGTCTGGCGTTTTTGAATTATCAGCCGCATCCATCATCCGGCAAAGTTGATGGATGTACAAACGACACAGTTGTCATTTCATCACGTATCTGACATAATTAGAAGCTTGTTTGCAAGGTAGAGCAGGTTTGCCTGTTTCGCCATCCACCGGTTGCTAATTACCGTAATTTCGTCCTCCTTGTTGCCTATTGGTCATTCGGTTCGTCGATACTGTCGGTGGAAACGTTTTTTTTTCCGCCCACGCCTTCCTCTGCCGTTAACAAAACAACCTACTTTTTGCCATATGACGGGCTTACTCGTTGCTTTGCCAGACCGTGACGACTTCCTAATGCGGCGTTCGTGCGGCACTCTTACTTTTGTGAAACCAGAACC